GGTGTCGGTCTGTTAGGGGCGTGGTCACCATGTAAACCTCATTTCCTGGTTGTTTTCAGAGCCTTAATGTTTACAAAGACACAGGTTTGAAACCCTGACCCTGTGACCTTTGAGGGGATGCGGGGGGGGGGGGTTACCTCTTCAGCGACCACGTCGTCTCTGCCCGGACTTTGTGACTTTTTGGGTGCATGCCCCCCCGACCTTGTGTTGTTGTGGTTCTGACCTCAGTCTCTGCGTGTTTCGCCACTCGCTGCTGCTAGCAAGCTAGCGGAACACGCGCGTCGCTGACTTTGATGTTCTGCATCCTTGGACCCGTGTTCTCTGAGGCTTTAAGTATCTTGGTACCGTTGGGGGAATGTAGAACTTTGTACAATCCTTTTCTTCTTCTTCTTCTTCTTCTTCTTCTTCTTCTTCTTCTTCTTCTTCTTCTTCTTCTTCTTCTTCTTCTTCTTCTCAGTATTTGTATATTTAAGAGCTTTTGACCGTCGGGGCTTCAGGCGCTGTTGTCGCGTACACACCACATCGTGTTTGAACTATTTTACTCTTTGATATGAATTTCGTTAGAGACTGAGTCACGTGTTCTGATAGGACGCAGGAAATTTTTAAACTCTACAGCGCCACCGTGCTGTCGGTGCCATTTGGTGTCTTGATTGAAGGGTTTTTGCAAAAAACTCCTGATTGTGGATGTCAGCTCAGGAGACGCATGCGTTATGACTGAGATAAAGAAGGGGGCGCTAATAACACCAGGTGTTCTGAGGAGATGAAGCTGAGGGGCGCGGCCAGGCACTGATGCTGACACTTGAGGTCGTGTAGGTAAACGTCCTACCCAATGTCTGGGCGACTCTAACAACAGCGCCCCACCTGGACAGTGACATGAATGTCAGCCTCTTCTCCTCTGGTCTAAAGAACTGAGCTCAGTCCAGACTCCAAATGGTTCCTTCAGAGAGAATGTTTCCTACAGAAGAGCAGTCCAAATGTTTGGAAACAGCGCCTCCACTTGCACCGTCCACGTCCGTTGGACTAGCACGCGCCCTGACGTACGTCTCTGATGTCACTTTTCTATATAGATATTTTGGTGTTTTTGCCTGAACATGTAACCACGCTAACACGTATTTCCTGTGTGTACAGCACGTACAGTGGGCGTGGCCGCGCCGTATTTATCCTCATTAATCAAAGGCCGGGACTCCTGGTCTTTCAGTGCGGGTTCTCCCGACAGGTCTGGGCTCAGGAGCCCGGCCTCACGTTCACCACACAGGAAGTTCTTCTTCTCATCCTCGTGACAGGAAACAGTCGGACGTGTTTGGCGTCCAGTCAGACGATCGGTACTTACAGAAAGGCAGCGCAGTTTCAGCCTGTGATGAGCTAATGATGCTAGTCAAAGAGCTAACACAGTTAGCTTCGTTGTCCTAAATCAATAACAAACTAAAGTGCAGTGATGGTGCGACACCCAAACAGTTCCCTCTGGTTCCTGTTCCTGTAGATCTGCTCCTTCACTTCCTCTCAGCGTTTTCTACTACGATGATGACGATGAATATTGTACTGTATGAACTGAGTCTGATGAAAGTGTGAGTATTTTTAATCAGGTTTTTTTTCTTTCGATTTCTGGAGTATTTTTCTCTTTGATGTGTTTACTGTGTTTATGTAAATAAACTGAGGTGGTGACGTCTGATTGGTTCCTCTTCTCCTTCACTGACCAATCACATATAAGAATATAGTAAATACATGATAAAAAACTCACCAGACCATTTCACCAGGATTTATTTTAACCAGGTGACCTCCAGTCACATCCACTGATCTCCTCTCTGTCAGAACTGGGTCAGATCCCACCACCCACTGACATGGTCTGTGAGCCTCACCCACTGACATGGTCTGTGAGCCTCACCCACTGACATGGTCTGTGAGCCTCACCCACTGACATGGTTCTCGTCAATAACAGAAACTCTGAACATCACCATTGATCTGCTCTGGTTAAACTGGTCTGGTCTGGTTGACCTGGTTAACTGTCAATACATGAAACAACAACAGAAGAAGAAGAAGAGAAGAAACAGGAAGTGGACAGAGTTCCACTGGAGAACACTGTTGGTGTCTGTGGAGCCAATTCTTCCCACGTTCTGTTCCAACACCTGAACGTCTCTCAGTCTACGTAGGACCTGACGTCTGGGTTTGATAGTGGGTTTTTAGGAGCACACTGCCACCTGCTGGACTAGAGAGGGTAGTGTCATAGTGTCAACCGATGAGAACTGTCACGCATTTGTATCCGTTTTTAACCGATGGTCGATGCGTCATTACGTCCCTTTAGAACAGACAGTTGGGCTGTTATTATAGAGTCGGTCATGAAGGAGCAGGTCTGTAGTTTATCACAGGTTTCAACAAGTGCCACCTCCATTTAAACGTTCTTCACAAACACAGCGTCTTCATTGGTTAATTTCTGATATATACCTGAATAACATTTGATCTGCACTGTGATATCACAACGAGAGGATCAATTCAACGAAGGTAAAATCTAAATATGAAATATTAAAAACTACCACACGGGGGCAGAAACTTCTTCCCGGGCCCAAAACTCTTCAACTAATGGCCCGGAAGCGGAAGTTCTTTCCTTTCTTGTTTCTGCTTGTGAAGAAACGCTTGTAGGTGAGTTGTCTCTCTGTGTTTAATCCAAAAGAATCTGAATTTTAATCAGTAATCCACAGTTGTAGTAACCGTTTTCTGAATCATTGATAAAGGGTTAGTTTATTCCCAGATGCATTTCTGTCGGTGTGTGAGTAAATAATGAGATTTGTGAGTGTTTGTCTGTTGGTGAACCCCGAAGAAACGTCGCCATCTTAACACCGATTTTTGATCGTCGTTGGTAATATTAACCGCAATATGTTGTAAAACAGCATTTTTGTTATTGTTAATGCGGGTTCATATGATATATTTGTGGTGAAACTTAAACTCGAGTTTAAATTCCTTCGACATATTGTAGCGTCTCTGCTAGCTAACAAGCTAACGTAGTGTAACGGCTAATGCTCCTCCGTGCTAACTCTGTCGGTCGGTTCTTTAGCACTTCTGCATATAAAGTTGTTTCGAATACGTTGCAGTTGATTTCTGCATGGGCCCGTTACCATTGGTGAAGGTTAATGTGTGGGAGCAGTAGTCGAATACAGAGTCTATAGCCAGGGTCCAACTCCTCATGTGCCGGAGCTGAACCCGGTCTCCGGGGTTCGTCACTTCATTGAAGGTAAACTGGGGATCTGAAAGGTGTTTGCTCTGCAAAGTAATCGACACACATGTCAGAAGTGTCTAAAGTACTCGATTATTCGTGTGTGTTTATTTGTGCAGATCGAAGCAGTTCAATCAAATAAAGGTTTATGTCCCGTCTGCTGTAGACCGTACTCCACACCGGAGGAGGCGCTGGTTTGTGTTGTTTTGGTTTAATAAGAGCTCGTGTGATAGAAACTGCCCCCAGTCCGACCGCTGGTCCACAGGTCCGTTCGTTGGACCAGTGAGCTCCAGGTTTGATGGTTGTCGTTGGTCGAAGACTGAATGAAAGTGAAATAAGTTGGTTTGAAGGACCAAAAGGAGGAAGGAGTCACTTAATACAGTGGTTCATGATGGGATGGAGCTGAGGTCAGAGTCACGCCCCCCACCCCTGCTGCTGCTCCTCTGCCTGGTTCTCCTCCTCCTCTCTCCTGCTCACCTCATTCCTTTTTTTGCTTTCAGACAATGGCTCCTCGTAAAGGGAAGGAGAAGAAGGAGGAGCAGGTCATCAGCCTCGGCCCTCAGGTGGCTGAAGGAGAGAACGTGTTTGGCGTCTGTCACATCTTCGCCTCCTTCAACGACACCTTCGTCCATGTCACTGATCTTTCTGGAAAGTGAGTCACATGACCTCTGACCCCGCTCACTGTCTGTGTATATTCTTATCACCAAAGCATCATGGGAGTTGGGCTGTTATTGTTTCGTTTGTGGTCATGAACCTCAGATGTGTTTGAGTGGTGACTCATTTTCCCATCATTCCCAGGGAGACCATTTGCCGCGTGACCGGTGGGATGAAGGTGAAGGCCGACAGAGACGAGTCGTCTCCGTACGCCGCCATGTTGGCGGCTCAGGACGTGGCTCAGCGCTGCAAAGAGCTGGGAATCACTGCGCTGCACATCAAGCTGAGAGCCACCGGAGGGAACAGGTGAGCCCCCACCCCCCAGTGATGCAACATCCTGTCGGTCCACGGTCCATCAACGCTGTTTTTACGCTAACCAAAGAAAATTTTTTTAATTTTCAAATCCCGTCCCCGCTTCCATTTGCTCACTGGTCAGTTGAGCCTCTGTCAAACTGGTCCAGACTAAAACCTGGACCAGGTCTGGACCAAACCTCATATTGATTCAAACACTGACTGTAAACGTTTTCTCTTCTGTCCAGATCTGTTTGTTGTTTATTTGGAAACAAACTTTAGTTTAAAGTAACCATTAAATCTGGATGGACTAGAGGTGAATATTCTAAAGACCTGAGAATGAACTCAGAAGTTCAACCATCAGTGCTGTTTGGTTCTTATTCTGTGTCTTTATCTGTAGACGTCTTTTTCAAAGAACCACCAAGAATGTCTGTGCTAGAACAGAGCCTCCAGTCTACGTGGGCTGGATCCTGGAGGCCCAGCTCTGGGACACATTTGATCTGATCTCACCGGCCTAATATAAGAACAGCGGGGCCCAGAGCTGGGCCGCGGGCCTGGGTTTGACACCCGTGCTCTACATGAATGATGTCACACTATCAGTGAACTGGCTTAAAAAGAAACAAACTTAAAGATCCAACTAAATAGTTGCAGTTGGTGACATCATCAGTGACATGATCAGTGACATGGTGTGTCTGTTTCAGAACAAAGACTCCTGGACCTGGAGCTCAGTCTGCTCTCAGAGCTCTGGCTCGATCTGGAATGAAGATCGGTCGCATCGGTAAGACACGCACACACACACACACAGACACACACACACAGCTGATAGAATTTAATTGGATTAAAGTTTGATTGTTGTTGTTTTCTGTTCCCTCAGAGGACGTCACTCCGATCCCATCCGACTCCACCAGGAGGAAGGGCGGTCGCCGCGGTCGTCGTCTGTAGTTCCACACATTTTTCTGACAATAAAAAGATTTAAGTCCAACTTTGAACCTGTTTTTATTTGTTTAAAAACTCATCACAGTTCTGTTCGATGTTCATGGGTCACAGAATCAAAAACAATGACTATAACTAAATGTTCACTTCACCTGCCGACCACCAGGGGTCCCCCTAAATGCAGGAAGGTGTGAATAGTTGTTTTTGTCCACAGTGGAAACAAAGATGGCTGCTGTGGTCAGTAGTTGGTCTGTGATGTTGACCACAGTCAACGGGTGAGGAGGAGTCTGTGTGTTAGCTCGTTAGCTTGTTAGCTCGTTACTTTAACCGCCACCGATAATTCTGGAGGGTGACGTCTATCTCCCTGGTCCAGTCCAGTCCTTGGTCCAGTCCAGTCCCTGGTCCAGTCCAGTCCATGGTCCAGTCCAGTTCTTGGTCCAGTCCAGTCCCTGGTCCAGTCCAGTCCATGGTCCAGTCCCTGGTCCTGTCCAGTCCAGTCCAGTCCGTGGTCCAGTCCAGTTGTGGGTCCAGCCCAGTCCCTGGTCCAGTCCAGTCCATGGTCCAGTCCAGTTCTTGGTCCAGTCCAGTCCCTGGTTGGTCCGGTCCAGTCCTTGGTCCAGTCCAGTTCTTGGTCCAGTCCAGTCCCTGGTCCAGTCCAGTCCTTGGTCCAGTCCAGTCCTTTGTCCAGTCCAGTCCAGTTCTTGGTCTGTTTCACTGAACTGATGTGAAGCTCAGTGATGAAGTCCTGTGGAGCAGAGAGGAACTGCAGGTCACACACACACACACACACACACACACACACAGGTGTGTACAGTGCATCTATGGAGTGTGAAGGTTCATTCCTCCCCCCCACCCCGTCCATATACCTTTAGTGCATTATTTAACACCTGAGGAAATGAAAATGTAAGGAGGAAATGATGCGCGGCTCCAGGGATCTGTGGCGCTCACGCTGTGACAAATCTCCTCTCGGCCTCAGCCTTAAATCCCACTGATAACATTACACTTGTCCCCTGATTTATGGGGGGGGGGCAGGGGGGGGGTAGAGTGTCTGGGGGATTAACACACACACACACACACGTTCATCAGCTGCTCCTGTTCTCTGCTCTCTGGGCAGAACCGATTGGACC